TTATTATCCGGAAGCACATGCTGTATAATCTTTTTGCCTATTTAAAGTTGTTCACCTTTAAAAAAAAAAGAAGAAGCTGTTTTGTAATTCGACAGTTTATGTTCAAAAAGGTCATGCCTGATGTAGGCCTAGCTGAATTTTTTTTCGACTATTCTAGAAGAAAATAGAAAAACATTAATGTACAAATTAACTAGGCTATTAATAGAAATAGGCTAGAACTAATTTGATCCTTGAGTGAAACTCATGGTGAAACTACAACTGTAACGTTGTCCAAAGCGTTTTGAATCGTCGGAGGAGACCGTGAACGCACCAGCAGCCACACTCTATTAAGATCTTTAGCGGTGCCGTTAATGATGCGCCTCGCACCGCGGAAATCATTGTTTCCCATATGACAAAGAATATGCATTTACATTATAAACTGTTACCGCAGACAGTGTGAGTATATTAAAGTAGAAGCGGCATCTGGCGGGTGCGAGGACGGACCCCCAATGTCTAAGACTAAAGTTAATTATTTTAAAAAGGAGGTCAGGGCAAAAATATCATTCAAATTGATTTTTCTTTTGCAGAATTGTAAAATGTATTTTTGTTGATATGTTTGATATGATATGCAGTAAGAGGTTTCAAACAATCATCGCGTTTTATATTTTTTTGTTTCCCGCCGCACACCATTCCGTGATGGACCCTGGTACTTTGGAGATTGGGATCGGGATTAACTGAGTTATTCCAACCCGTGTTGTAATCTGTTTTCGTAAAATATTACGGTCTCACTCACTTTATACCCCATGTTGAACATCGCCATTATTTCATGTCATTTCATGTTTTTCCTGAACGAAGTGAGGAAAAAACAGCAGTCAGATAAAAGAAGAGTGGATCATTATAAAGTATAACATCTTGTAAAGGACAGCCGTGTTTTATAACAGAGATAATCAGTGTGTTTGAGGCTCAGTCATCACTGGGAGTGCTATAATATTTTATGGAGATGCAGAAGGTAGTAAGAGTGAAATATGGCCTGTGTTAGCATCTGAAAGGCTTCAGCAAATGCACCTTGCTCACCGGGGAAATATTGTGCGTTTTAAAAGGTTTTCAACGCGAGGTGATTCACAATTCTGACAGTATTTCTTCAAGGGATGCAGTACACACGTTTTCTAATTCTGCAAATGGCCCTCTATTTCTAATTCATATCCGTGCATTCCCCCTGATCATGGGCTATACATTGGTTGTATTACCTTGTTTTAAAGTCTTTCTAAAATAATCATAGGAGAAGCTTTTGAAAAAAATTCACCCTTGTAATTTCGTTTCAGATCTGACATCCCTTCGTTTGAGTAAATGTGAGTGAGTTAAAGCAGCTGCGGCTGACCCATGTGAGATCAATGAGGGAACGATTGGCACTTTCTGCGGCTCCTCTGCAGCCAAACAGCCCGTTATCGCCAGACCATAATCGAGATTTAACATAATGATTCCAATTTATGTCTCCTAAATTCACAAGCAATTTAAAGTTTAAACTCTTAAACCCAGATCCGTTAGAGCAACAGACCGTGGCGCGCACTAGACGAATGGAGAGCCAAAAATAATCTTGATGGATAATTATTGGAAGAAAATGTTAAACCCATAAAGAACATTTATTTATTCGATTGACTGACACTGCATTATTTCTAATTCAAATCAAAAATAAATGGCAATATAGGCCTGGTGAAATCATATCAACAACAACCAAAATAATGCTTAACGAATAACGACAAAAACAACAAAACAAAGAACACTACATGCGCCTTTGCAATATATTCTAGAATATATAAAGAAAAAATATTATTTTTTTATTTCTTTATTTGCTTTTTAAGAAATTCTTTGGTTACATGGCATACAAGATGAACGCTTAGATACTTAAAATAGCCTAACTAATAACAATCGACAAATAATGAAAAGAGAAGAGACACATTAATTCGATTTGTAATAGTAAATTAAAAGTGAACCTGTTGTTCAGAGCAGGCCAGAGGACTATGATCTGATTTATGCTTTACATTGTGACTTTAATAACGTCTTGTTGGCCTGCTGATGGCCGTTACACACCGCAGCTCTTTGTCCTGCTATGGAAGGGAAATAGGTTAATAAACAGCGTAGAGATAATCTTATCTGTGTGTAACCTCCACACGAAGGGGAATTGACAGAGCAGTGACAGGGGAGATAAGCAGATGTTTGGACAAAAAGACGCTTGTTGCAGGCAGTGGATGTGAAGAGTCACCACTCACATCCCATGAGCCCGTCTGGCCTTTAAACAACCATCACAACCGTCACACATTCAAAATATGCACTTACATACTCACTAAATAACAGGACATGTAAAAAATAAAAAGAGCAATACAATGGTATTATTATTTTTACTTAATTAGAATTTCACACCTTGACCCTAAAACATATATTAATTTTGTTGTGTCAGATTTACAGTCTTTAACTTTAAAAACACAATTAAAGTGAAGTGAGAGGTTTAAAAACTGCTTTTAACATTTGATTGTATTTTAAATAGTGAGTGCACTGGGACTCTGAATGAAGCCCGGATAATGTGGGCAGCAGCGCCCTCTGATGGGACGCACCGGAACTTTAAAAGGCCTTTTCTTCTTTTGTTTAATGCATTACAGGAAATGATATGGAATCAGGGCATACATAAATACACATTAGTAAAGTAGAAAAAAAGAGAAAAAACTGATAACCAATAACAATAACAGGATATAGCAATTAGATAACGGATAAATCAAAGTAATACAGTCATTGTCACGGGTTACCACAGGGTCTTCATGTTTTGTGTTCTATAACTCACCCTTTTTTCACATCTGTTGTCAAAGATATGAACTTAATTTTTTACTTAATTCAGTTATCCTTCCATTCCATGTAATTGACCACATTGGTCCATTCTGAATTTAAGTTATGGACCACTGTGTCATTATCTTTTAACCTGATAATTGTAATTTGTATAAAAATTGCTTTATAGTAGGCCTACAGATTGCTCAGTCTTCCCTCGAAAAACAAGAACGCTCATCATCAAACTTTAGTAAATACTCTCTTATAATTTCATATACTGTAGAAACATTTTTGGTCAGGAACTGTGAGAGTCTTTTATTCTCCTGGTAACGTTTTATATATCAAAGCGTTTGCACTTCAGTCCAAAAAAACATGCTGATTTATTTAAATGGAGTATTTTTTAATTCCAAACAATTCTCAGGTGAATAGAATTAAGAAAACTGATGAACAGGCAATGACACCTAAGACACATTTCAATTTTTTCTGAACTGTTTTTTTGCAATTAGGACATTATATAAAGATAGCTTTGATGACTGATATGAAGTACTTTTTTTTATTTTAAAAGCACCTAAATGTGAAATTTGGATTTCCATTCCAGGCATGGGGAGTAACGGATTACGTTGTCAGACTACATAAAAACAGTAATTTACAGTTATATAAAAAAAGTTGTAATCAGATTACTGTTACTTCTCCCCATGGTTTTCACTTTCTTTGGTTCATTTGTTCTGTTTTTAATTCAGTAGGTGAATTTATAGGTGTGTGTGTGTATGTGTGTGTGTGTGTGTGTGTGTGTGTGTGTGTGTGTGTGTGTGTGTGTGTGTGTGTGTGCCTGTGTTTGAGAGAGAGAGAAAGAGAGTGTGTNGGCGGGGCCTCTCATATGACGCACACTTGCTCGCCTGTTCCACTCTTCGTTTTCCAAATGCCAGGAAGTATTCTTGCCTCGCTTCTGAAGCAAGTGACTCGGAAGACATGTGCTACCAAGCAGGCATACTGAGAAACACCCTGTGTGTACGAGTCACTTGCTTCAGAAGCGAGGCAAGAATACTTCCTGGCATTTGGAAAACGAAGAGTGGAACAGGCGAGCAAGTGTGCGTCATATGAGAGGCCCCGCCTTACATTTTCCGCCACAGATTTGGGGAAATTGGTCCGTGCGCAAAGCATTGTGGGAATTTTAAGAAGGCGGAGTCGACACATGTGCAGCTGCAACATTTCTCCAAACGAAGTACGCCGGGCTCGGTAGAATTCCAAGTATGCTGGACATTGGAACAGTCCTTCGGCGGCACTCCATGACATAGTATGCTTGAAATAGTGGTTCTGGAGCAGCCTTCCTCGACATTGAGAAACACCCTCAGTCTCATTTAACAGTTATTCCAGAGACATTAGGCCCCACAGTGGGGACAAAGGGAGTGTGTGTTGTGAAGTGATGTGAGGGCTTCAACTAAAGCAAAGTCATGACTGAGCTCAGCAGCTGCCACAACAACTTCTTAGGAGGGCTTATTTTATTATTCATATTATCTTAACAGCAAATGTCCTAAAATGAAGTTGTGTAACTTTGGTTAAGAGGTTTGTTAGGGCCTTAAAATCGACCCTAGATGAACCCGGCTTGCACAATGTTCAATTCTAAATTAAAAACCTACATTTTCATTGTTAAAAAATCTAAATCAAGTATTTTCAGTGCAGTAACAGACATTTTCAAAACAATCTCTGTCATCCACCTTCACCTCCTGCATGTTCAGCACAGCCTAAGAACTCACATATACCTTCGCCATGTACTGTTAAATAGAGATTTCTCCTCATTAATAGGAGGTAGTATGTTAGGCAACTGCTTTCAGTGACATGTCTTTCGAACAGCAGCAAAAAATCATTAAGACAACAGAGAAATGTAGATATTCAAATGATTCAGTAGGTTATTGATTATAGCACGGATAATGCACAAACCCGATTTGGTTCAAGCCCGGGGGAATTTTGAGAAATTACAGCACGGGTCGCCCCCAATTGGGTTTCACCACAGAATCAAAGCTCTAGTCCCTTTTGCAGATAATCAATTTGAAATGTAGTTAATGGCAGGCGTAGCTACTATGAGGTGAAAAAACAATCACTATACAGTTGATGGAGTGAATTTAATTTGTGATAAACATTGGAAGTGTAGAAATAAGAGAGCAGATGGATATATAAAGAGCTGGAAAGCAAAGAGGTGACTTACCGGGCTCCCATTGTTTTCCCGGAAAACATCCTGGTTGACATAATTAAAAAGCTTTTTCTCAAGTTGAAGAACAACCTGGATCAGAGGCAGGAGAGAAGCTCTGATTAATAACAATACTAATGTCAACTGCACTTGGTAATTAGAGCAATAATGAACAGCAGACAGCACTGTGCATTCTACACGCGTCTCTCTGAGGCACCACTATACTCTGAATGTTAACACAACTTGTAATAACTCAGGTTGAGCTGTATGACATGTATAGAACTGGAAAATGATTAGAATTTGAAGCTTTAATCACAAGTGCAATATTCCTTTTTGAACATGCATTATAATAATGTTCCTATTAAGGCCTGCTCACACCAGATATTTTACATCCTAGTCAATTAATTGAAATTGGCACGCAGGGGGGGAAATTACATCAATTGAAATCTTGCAGGACAATGTTGACAAGATAATTGTGAACATCGTCTGGTAGGAAATTATTTAAGCGTGTTAACTGTGTCCACTTTTGGAATAAACTACTCAAAATAAAAAATACTTTTTTTTTTAAAACAGTAATGTTTGGAAGAGGATTAGGACCACATGTTTTCTTTGAGACCCGACCCAACATATATATATTTTTGTTCTGAGATTAAAGTTAGGATTCTGTGAAAAAAGTCAGAATTCTGATATTTAAATCAGAATTTAATCTCACAACTGAAAATAAAATCCCTTTTGGTCAGATCCCAAAAAAAAAATTCACATATGGCCCTAATCCTCTTCGGTAGAAATGAGATAGGTGTCAATAGTGCAAATATCTCTCTTTTATATACTGCGTGAACTTACTGTCCAGTTAGCGATTGAGTGAACAAGCTAGCTGACACACACAGCTAACTCTGTAATAAGACTTTTTTGAATGAATTGATGATAAATCACAGTACAGAAGGGTTCTTGGGGCTGATGTGAGTGACTATAGCTAGCATGTTTCCTGCTCGCTTAAAAGGAAAATTAGGCATATTGTATGTGAATGTAAATTAAGGCCATTGAAGCGATACATATTCAGTGTGCACTATACTGACAGAAAGTGGAGTTTGTAGCTACAAATGTTACTCTGATTTGATTTCTAAATAAAAAAGGAATACATTTTTCCCTATAACACTAATCAGAGCTGCTTTTATTATGCAGGTACTTTTTTGTGGTGTGACTAGCCCTGAAGACAAATTTGTTTCTATACAAATTTGACAAAAAGCTGTTCTGATGACAATATAATTTCAATTTAGGAATATATGCTTTTGCATTTTATGACAGGCAGCATTAACGCAGTACAGCTTACCTTCCGGTCATTGTCACTCTCTCTGAATATTAGCTTGTCCACCTCGTTGGTGTCGGCGGCTCGGACTGTCTGCAGGGTGGCAGTTGAGCAAAGACTCTGGAGTGGGGGATGGAAACAATAAGTGATCAAAGACACAAGAAAAATCATGTTGTTTTGTGTGTTCATAAGGAAAAAGAAAACATTAATTCAATTACAGATATTCCTACATATTGAAAGTGTGTCCAACCCCCACACACACTTTGTACAGTAATGTTCTGAGAGCAGCCATTGTGTCCAGCTCCATGCACTACACTGCACATTTGAATGATTTTTTAAAGAAGCGTCCCACAAATCACCACCTCACTGTCCCCTCTCTTTATCTGGCTCTATGTACTGACCCCATGGACTGTGTGCATGGTTAAATTCCCCTTTGTGGACTCTTTTAACAATTAGTTAAACATTCGACCATCTGTGTTTGAAGACAGTTGAATGAGGTAATCCCTCAGCCAGTGGTTCCCATACCGCGCAGCAGGGACTGGGCGACCTGATTGAAATTCAAAGCACAGATTAGATAATCGGGTCAAGCCAATATAGCGAGCAGAAAAAGGCCCTTTAGACTGAAATGTCACAAATCAGTCCTGCTTCGGCCACCAAGAAACAGCACAGCAGATCAGAACAAACACCATGCCTTGAGAGAAAGTGGAACAACTCTCTGCAGACACCCCCCCCCCCACACCCCGACCACTACCTCCAACCCCATTCCTTCAAGTCCCCCACACCCTCCCCTCCCCACCAAAAGCAACTTTTCTAAAGCCCTAACAAATCGCTCCATCTTTCACTCATTTAGGCCATCCAAATGCAGGGTCAATATGGTCCCCTGGCAGCCAAATGCTAATGCGCTTAAGTGCGCTTAAGCAGCTTTGTGCAATGAATAGGCCAAAGAAGGAGCTAGGGAGAAGGGCAAGAGATACTTTCCCTGTCAAAAAGTCATTGTAGCGAAGACAACCACAGAGAGTCGCTTTCTGCCATCTCTGATCAGACAGACTGCACCAACTGTGGTCACGGGTTGTACTTTCTGATTACTATATATATTTTTCAAACTATTTCTTTCAGATGCAAGAAAGGTCTTTTTATTGTTAAAGAAACTTTCAATTATTTTCTTGGCTAATTGATTGGTTATTTGGTCCATCAAATCTCAATGGAAAATCTTTCCAGAAACTCAGTGACTTCTTCAAATGTCAACTTAAAGATCTAGTTTACTGTCGAAGAGAAGGGAAGAAACCAGTAAAAAAACCAATACTTGAATTTGGCTTGTTTGTCTTGAAAACTAATCAAACCAGGACATATACTATCAAAAAAGGCAATTCATTTATTTTACTCTGCGGCTCTCTATATAGGTGACACAAAGTACACGTTTTCTAGAAAGTGTAGTGACAGCTGTGAGTTTCAAATTGACTTCAGATTCTTCCAAGCAAGCCCCCTTCTGTGGTCTGCTTTTCAAATCTAGAAGTCAGTCAGGCAGAAATCCCTGGACAGCTTAAAGTGAGGCCAGAAGCAAACACTGCATCCTGGCACAATAAGCATGGATATCAGGAGGTGAAAAATAGCCCTCCATTATTATGATTTGATAATCTGGTACACAGGGCTTGGATCAAAATACAGTCATCACTAAACCTTAATATGTCCCCTACATTTGTATAAGTACCTGGATAGAAACAGATAGAAGAGAGTAAATGTTTTACCCAGAGAAGAGGGAGAATACATTATTCTCAGTGAGCTCATTGTGCAACTAGTGCCAAAAGTGTCACCACAAGCGAGACTCAATTAGAAGAAAACACAATAACCTAATGCTGCCTTTTCTTGTGAGGACATGTCTCCTCCAAGAACAATTACATTCAGGATTACAGGGTGAATTAAACAATTTAAACTTCAGGGAAACAAATGACTCCCAACGCAGATGTTTGGCTCTTTCCAGGAGCAGGAGAGAAGCATTGGCTTTACTTTAAAAGTGTTCTACATGCACTCAGTGTCTAACTGAACAGGATAAAGCAGCTTTCTTTCATTTAGATGCCCACTGGTGCGGCCGGAGCCCTGGGTGTCCTGTGGCGTGGCGTTGGTCGCTGACATGTGTCTGATTGATCCATTCATCAGCTCATTGACCAAGCGATCAGTGTGTCGGTGCAGGGGCTGGTGGCTGATTGCACCCGATTGATCAAGCCTCCCTTACTGTCATCCTTTGTGAGAAACATCCCCCCTCATCCAACACACACAGCCCCGCTCATCCCACTGCCTCCGTCATAAGATCAGCCCACCAAACACCAAGAAGGGGAAAATGAGAGTCCCATGCTGTCACTTAGACCTATACATGCAGTGATGCTGCCAGCAGAGTCCAGGTGCTCGTCTCCACACAACTGTCCCTTCAAAGCACAAAGACGTGCTCTCACTGACCACGCTAAATGATATTATCTTAATTCATTTGGTTGCAATTGGCTTCTTATTTAATCCATGACAATTAGTAAAGGGAGGGAGCGGTCAAAGGAAGGGAACATAAACAGACAGCTGTCAGGTACAGCAGCTGTAGTCCAGAGGACAGTAAGGATGTCTTCACTCTGCACTCTTTAGATGATCCAGCAAAGTGACTTGGCATCACATCCCTGCATTATGGGTCAGAGGTCAACGCTGAGTGTTTGCAAAGGGGCAGGGGCCCGGGGGGCCGGGATGAGAGGTTGCAGAGGAAGGCGCTGCCTTTGTGCATCAATGGAGGATAATCTCATGACTGTCGAAGGAGGAAGCGGCTGTTTAAAGGAGCTCTGTATTCCAGCTGCTCTCCTTAGAAGAGAGGTTAAAGCAATCTGTCCCACTTCAAAGACCACACACACACACACACACACACACACACACACACACACACACACACACACACACACACACACACACACACACACACACACACACACACACAAGCCTTCTGTCTCAGGTCCTGCCAACAGATGGAGGTGAGCCACTGTGCCCGACTTAAACAGTAAGAAACCCACACACAGACGGCAGGGCTGACAATGCAAGCCTGTTTTACATGTCAACGTCTCCTACGGACTAATGGGAAGAGCCTAAGAACAATCATTTTAAATTACACTGAAAAAACTAAATGTGTCAACTCCAAGCCCATTGGTTCATACATAATATATACCTTTACAAACAGGTGTAACGTGTTATTTAAAGGCCTGCTAACTTAGCTAAACAGTTGGGCACTATATTTTCTGCAAGCTCTACTCAAACAGGAGTAAATAGTGCATTCGTTGGGAACTATTTTCAGATGCGGATTTATACACTTTTGGTCATGTAGTGAGTTCTTCAGCAGCAGGACGGTGAATGGGGTATTGAGTCAAAATATAGTGCAGTATGTGCGTTCAGGGTTCAACACTGTGACTCATTGATGTGATTTAAATAGTTCTTGCACAACAATGGAGCTCTACCATAGAGAGGAATAACATCATATATCAGGATTTAAATACACAGGCAACACTTTTTAGTAGGATATAATTAGTAGACAGTAGCATTTTATTTTGTAAGATTGGATTTTGTATATTTCAATAATATTTTATTTAAGTGTATGCTCAATGGGACAATAGAGACCTTTAAACCATAACGAGCATTTGAAATTCTGCTGGATTTAGTGACGTTTTCATGGTAGAATATATATTTATTTTCATTATGACTAGGGCTCCCTAGAAAAACTAGAGTGGAACATCCCGGCTGTAAACAAAATACAACTGCTGTTGGTTCTGTTATCATGATCTGCATAACGCGTATCCTAGAGAGATCTGCAAATTATTCTAAAAATAGATGTTACTCATAATTAGAAAATAATCCCTACGCCTAAATTCCAATATAATTTAAAAAATGAATAAAATTCTTCTTGCCTTGCCCTGGCATTGTAAGACTTTAGAAAGAATATTTTGGGACATTAAACCAACTGAGTCCTTACATTTAGATTGATTAATTCAATGCCTTATAAAGTTAAGCCTTTAAATTGGGATGACTTTGGGTTAGAGTTATGCCTCTGTTTGTGTTAGGGTTGACTTATTAGGATCAAATTGTGTTAAAATGTTAGTGGCAGCCAGTAAAGTGTATTTTTTATAAGTGTGAACAAGTTGCAGAAATCTGTAGGATAACAGGGTGCCAGCCAATGGACAACTCCTCCGGACTCCTGGGGGATTTATGTTCCTCCCTCCCTCCCCCCAATCCCATGCAATGATTCACACTAAACTGTCATTCCACCGATATAATAATCCATTGAGTGCATTTAGAATTCAGTGATTAAATCTCAATTAGGTGAAGAGAGTAGCAGAGAGTGTGCAGAGGGAGACAGACGATGGGTGGACAATGAGCTAACTATTCATTCTTCATTGCCAGAGGCAGGGGACGGGGGCTCCCCTTTGTGTCAGCGGGGGCAGTGGCATTGTCAGAACGCGCCATTATTTTCTCTGCCAGCTGAGTTAAGGTGTGCCAACGGGGGCTGGCAGGTTCACCGCAGATTGCTTAGCACCCCGATCACTTTTCTTCCGTTCGCCACCGTTCATCACGCCCGTCCCGCAGCGACATCTTCCCGAGCCGGGGAGAAGGGGGCACCGGGAGGAGGCGACAACAAATTCGGCCTCCTGCCTTCCTGCCAGCTATTACGCAGGAGAGCCAGTAAATCAGCTGTGACCCCCCCCCGCCCGAGCTGACTGGACACAAGCCAGAGGATCCACTCTTCTCTCCGTGGAGGGCTAATTTAATGCTTCCAAACATTGTGGATTCATCACACAGCAGGGTGGGGATTCAACATGGATAATTCATCATTATCACCCAGCAAAGTTAGCCTGCGTGTGACCCGCTGATCAACGGTTGACCCTAGTAAACATGGCCTGTGTCCCCCCTAACAGCGAGCGGCCCACTCACAAACCCTCGCCCCTTCCCATGAACTTGTGGAAGTTTGATGGCAGTGTGTGCGTCGTAGGAGGTCTCCCAACGAGCCACGCCCTCGCCAACGAGCGAGTTTGGAGAGGTAAGAGGGCAAGGTAGTGATAATGTGCCCTATTTATCTTGTCCACTATAACATCTGGGAAACTTCTCTAAAAACAATGGAGGGCAGCCATTCTGACTTTACCTTCAGAAACCGTCCAAAAGCATTTGCCCCCTCAGAATGGATAATGGACAGGCCACAAATCATTCAGGACAACAGGACGAAGGGGTGTGTGTGCGTGTGAGAGAGAAACTGAATGTATGTGTATGTTTTGTGTGAGTGTGTGTGTGTGTGTTCCCCCCTGGTATTTAACTTCTCTGCTGGCCCATTCTGCAGGGCCCCGCAGGACAAATTGCCC